ACTTTTGTGCTTTTAAAGGTCTCTGTATGGTTATTTCCTGCCACAATAACATGAAGAATGGATTGTGTTCGGTCATCATCACCTTCCGAGGAGACACCCAAAGCTTCACTGACCTCGCCAATATTATCAAACACCTAGTCCATACCCAAATCGTTTGTCGTCTCTAGGCAATCAGGGTGCACAGTTGCTAAGGGTTCCATAATGTCCACGTCAGATTGATCAATATCGCAGGGAAGAGGACAGATCTGTTGAGAAGAAAACTGATCTTCAAACTCCTCCCCTTTGCTTTCAACACTGTTCTGATACAAGTTTAATTGCAGATTCAGCTCTGTTCCATGGTCATCCGTAAAATTTGTCATCAAATCATGGGTGTAATTCGTCCCAGTCACGGAGGGTAAACCATTTAAGCCTTTTAGAGCAACAAAGAGCTTAAGTTCGTTAAGTAAAGTCATGGCTAAATCATCTGTCAGCTTGAAATGAAGGTCCCGTCCTACACATACTATGACCCCGTTGGAACAACTAACACTTCCGGACGTGATCATTGAAGACAATGACTCTTTAGCCCGTGGAACAATGGCCTCAGAAAAACCCCTCTTATGATCCAAACGATACTCCACACCACCGCCACCATTTCCCATCACCTCACAAGTAGGGGTAGAAAATGAGCTCTTAGAATGAGAAACAGAGGTCAAACCTGGAGAAGGAGAAGGAGAAGGAGAAGGAGAAGGAGAGCATGCTACCCATTTATGTTTTTCAGTACGAGTCCATCGAGTGCCTTGGCGACTAGCTGAAGCAACCGGCAGTCTCCACTTTTCTTTCTCAGTCCGACGCTGAAATGAAGAAGAGGAGAGAGTTTGGTTTTGGATTTGAGCTTGAACCTGGGCTTGTCTTTTAGATGGATCTGGTTCGTTGAGAAAGGAAACAGAAAGTGAGTTGGGTCCTCTAAATACCCGTCTTTTAGTGTGGGCTGTCTTAGGCCCAAAGTCAGGCTTGAACTTGAGCCCATTCCTCCCAGACCCAAAACTTAACACTTTAGCTTTCCCTGAACCCCTCCAACCTAAATCAACCTTAGGCCAATTTGTGCGGCCCTACCCAACCTCTTCACCAACCCTTGTAGATAAGGATAGGGACGAATCTGGAAGTGAGCCTCTACGAGCGCCACGTGTAATTTTATTCTTGTCAGCTGCAACGCGCTTAACCGGCGCGTCTCGGCTACTTGATTCCTCGCACAAATTTTTTGAAGTTCTCTATCTTTCAGCCATTGTTGGACCTGTTGCACCGCTTCTTTCCCTTTGTTAAGAAGCGAATTCCATCCTTCCTCAGTCATAAGATGAGACCCGTCACTGCATTCAAGAGTCTCTGTCGAGGGAACCAACTCCGGCGCGACTTCTTCCCAGATCGCCACCTTGTAATAGAAGGTGTCATCATTAATAAACACGAATTGCGGACAGGTCGATCCTATTCTCACTGTAATCCGAATGCTTTCGGCGTCCCTTGTTTCATCTGCAACAACTCCCATAAATCCGCCGCACAACTCCCCTACTTCAACAAATAAAGCATGACACCATAGGTGAAGGGGCAGTCCAAACATCCGGATCTGTTTGAGACCTTTGTCTCTAAGGACGCCGCAACAACCAACCCTAAAAGACCACACATCGATCCACAAGGTTGCAGATCCGCATTGACGCCGGCCTTCCTTCAACACACGTTGAGCTTTTGCCTGAGAAGGAAACCTGAATAGGAGCAACGAATCGGATAAGGGAGTAACCCCCACTCCACAGGACGTATTCCATGCTCACACCGCCCCTTCCTCCACCCGATCACATCCCCCAACTTCCTTGTCAAAACGACCGACCAAGCAAGGTGAGAGAACTGATTTCCTCCCTCCGACGGGCTCCTCGTCGATGTACAAAGACGGCTCTCGATGTGGAACTGCTGACTTCACATCCCTTCTCAGTGAAATTCTTGGAATCCTTGCAATTTCTAAAAAAGATTTCATCGCAAACTGAAATTGAAAAACAAAATCACGATCGCCTTGAAATCGCCCCTAGTGGGGTGAAATCGCCCATAGTGACATTCTAATTTAGTAGTCATTTGATAAAAGAAAAATGATATGAATAAATTATTGAAAAATAGAGAACAAATTTCACTTACCTTAAAATATTCTGTTCATCTCTGTCAGGTGTCCCAACGGCAGGGGGAATCAAGAGAGGTAAGTGGAATTTACCCAAAAATTGAAAGACACTTTTTTTTTTAGCCTGGGACATACTAAAAAGTGCATGCCAGTGAGCCTGACTGAAGGGGCTTGGCCTTTACTAGGTCAAGGCTCTCTAGCTGAGCCTCGACAAGCCTGGGACTTTTTTAGAGCCTAGGTGTGCCCTTAACAACTATGGTATGGGATGACACTATTGCAATCCAAGCACGATTAGTCAAACGTAAACACATTTATTTCATGTCGTATCAGTTATTGTCACTCCTACCTAGTATTTTTATTTCGGGTTGGATCAGTAATAGCAGGTTCATTCTTGTTTGAGGTGGTGGTCTATGTTTTCAAAATTTTAAAACCTAGACCGAATGCTTGCATTTATGATTGGATCATTAATAGCGGCACATGTCGCGTGACATCTCTCCCATTGCCATCCCCTATATGCCATGTTGCAACCGAGCTGCCTCCCACCCCTTTTTGGTTGTTAAGAAGACCCTCTCCTTTTGTTCGCCTCTTCTTTTTACGTGCTTCAGGCGCTTGCAAAGACCCTTGTCCCCAACCTCTCTTGTCCCTTTTACCTCTACTTCTCATATTTCAATTTCCGGCATACTTCCGATGCACACTTGGCTTCGTCCTTCTCTCACCACCGATCCTTCTCTTGAGTTAACAACTTCTCATGTTGATCTCTGAGCGATGCTACTGTCAGAGTCAATTCTGACATGGTTCTTCCAACACAGCCACCTGATAAAACACCTTCCCGTCCCCCGCCATCACAAAAGCGGGTTTCTCCTCTCTGTCCATGCCTAAAATTTTATTCTTTTCATGTTTACCTTTTCATTTGCTTTTACGCCCTTAAAATCACCACACTGATCCCCAATTGCAACGAATTGTGGATGGCACCATAGATGGAGCTGCACACCATACAATAGAATTCGCCATTCCTTGCTCTTCCTCATAATGCCAGAGAATCCCACTCTGTATTTAAAAAAGCATCTCCCCATTATGGTTTTCCCTTTTTTAAAACCTTATTTGCCTCATTGCGAGAATGTAGCTTGAATAGAAGTATTGGGTCCCCGGCAATGAAGTCACACACCCCAGTCATCACCATTCAAGACTTCATAGCCCACTCTTCTGTCTTCTCGAGGCTTGCGACTTCTGTGTAGAAAAAACCAAAAAGGCACAGTTATTAAGTCTCTTTCCTTCTCTCGGCACTCCCACATCCACTTTGATGTGCCCTCCATTTGACGACAATAGCCCGAAAGTGAGAATGCGCGGTAGTCTTACTACCTCCAAAAACCTTCTCCTCTTCATACAGACTTGTCACAAACATAAGGTCACGCTAAAGACAGGTCGACGCTTATCCTTGCCCTCTCTATCGCGCAAAGAATATAATGCAACTCTCTATTGCTGAAGATATCTTGAAATGCTGATGCTCAGTCTTTATAAGTAACATTACATCATCTATCAACGGAATTTTGTTTCATTACTTCTAATCCATGCCTTGGACTTGGAGTACTAATGCCCAGTTGCAAAGGTCAAATTGCAGTCTTTTATTTCTATCGTTCCAGAACATCAATTCCATGCTTGTCATTGCTAGTTTTAAAAAATGAAGACAAAAGCCCGTAATGAGAGCATGTTGTTCACAGCATGAAATGTTTCGAATATCTAATTCAATCTGAATTTTTACATTGTGTTTAGCTATAACTTCCCTCTTCTAGGGAATTTTATTATTATCATAGTTAGTAAATTACGCTAAGGAAAAAGAGAAGAAGGAGGATTTGGGAATGTATGAGTATAATTCGACTCTTTTTATTTTATTTTATTTTATTTATTTATTTTTTTAATACATTGCAAAATTCGGCCAAATAAACGGAAAAGAAAAATACGAATACGGATACATACATGTATAACACGTATGAGCTGAAAATTCGGGACAAAAAATTAAGCTATACACATCTTATATATTTTCTTCTATATCATATACTTGTAAAGACAATAAAAGAAAATGTTACAATTAATAAAATAAATCCCATTTTATGCAAATTTACACCGTATGCCTCAACTTCCATCGTAGAATCTGGTATTAGCTTCGTGCATAAAGTTGAGTAAGTTGGTAATTTGTATGATTGAGTCATACAACGTAAATTCTAGGACTCAAATACAGATACACTCTTCACGAAATCAATAAAAGATCGAGTCTGAACCACATTGAATTGAATATCATTCGAAATAATATGCTTAGCAATTTTTTTATTTACCTCACTCCTATTTATTTTCTTAATTATTTCTGGCATGGTGTATTTGATGTGAACCCTTTGAAGATGAGGGGGGAAATTTAACAAGTCTACATTGTTCAACATCAGTTGAAGTAATGTAGTCTCAACTTTTTTTTTTTGTTCAGACCACCGGTTGCTAATAGTAATGTAGTGCTTGAGAAAAATATAGAATTAAAATTGAAATGTAAATAAAAATAATTGGGTTATCAGGAAACATAAAATAGATAAATAAATAAATGAATTAAAGGGCTAAACATATAAAATCGTTTCATTTGGGTTAATAGTGAAAACCGTATCTTTCAAACTTCAATTTCAAGCGGGAGCATTTCCCAAAGCATCGTACGTACACGTCTAATTCGTGAATTTACTTCCAGGATTGTCATTTCTATTTTTGTACCTGATTCTTAAAAACAATCAAGAAAGATTCTGGCTTCATGTGATTAAAATGTTTATCTTTTCGTTGTTATTTGTTACTATATTTTTGCCTTTAATGCTGTTTTTATATTTTGCCTCCTTAGGAATCCTTCATCGAATGGTGCGTGCCATTTACATCAAGGAAGGAAATTTTCCAAACATTGACAATTTTATTGCAAGTTCTGTATCTTTTATCAACGAAGGAAATTTTAAAAGCATCCACAATTGCATCCCCAATTTAGTCGTAAGTTCAATATATACATAACTTTAATTTTTAATTTTTAATTTTATTTTTTATCTAATTCAAATTTTTTTTAACAATTATATTGTTTGATCTTTAAACAACAGGTTTTTTGTGGACCCCAACAACTTTTTTTCGAACAGAAGCACAACATTATATTAGAAAATTATGGGTTGTTCAAAAAGGGCAACACTGATTGGCATGTGGCTGGGGTTTCCAAGACCAGATATATCTCGATAAATGACTTCATGTGGTTGGTACTCTGGATTCCTAAAAAGTACAAAAAAAGGATTTATAATTACCTGTTTAAGCAGCAAATTTATGTTTTGGAGAGTTCTCCAATGACACTATTAAAATACTCAGTACTCTGTTCTTGGAGAGCACCATTCGATGGACAGTACAAGTTAAATGTTTCTGTGTTTTTTAAGAAAAATCTTGGTGGGACCAAGGAAGCTTGTTGTGGAGAAGTATTAAGAGATTGTAGGGGAAGGATTTTGGAAATTTTCTATAAGCCATTTCCTGATGCAACATCTAGAGATGAAGTATTGTTACTTGGAGTGCTTCATGGGATAGATGAAATTCTTAAAAGGAGATTGGAAGCAAAGGATATATTATTGGAGATTAACCATAAAAAAATTGTCAAGGTGCTAAATCGTGAGAACGATATACCAATTGAATGTCTTGGACTTTATCAGTAAGTTTTTTGTATAAAGTTTGAGTTTATTCTTAAAATTTATATTCAAGTTTCCAATTATATTGATATAAAACTATTGTGATGCAGCAAAATTTTTGGTTCGTTAGAATTTGATAAATATGAAATATCATTTCAATATTCTCAGGGAAACACGGTAGCTAATAGAGTTGCGTATATAGCTTCGCATCTGACCGTGGGAGAGAGTTTTCCCATAGGCGATAGAGGTTTTGAAACAGAAGTCAGGCATGATCGATTGAATATTCCACGATATGAGATCATCCCGAAAGAATCGTCTGATGAGGAATTTGAAGTCTGGTACTTTTACTTTTCTTATAGTATTTTAAATTCCTGAAATGAGAAAGTAATTACTGTGATCTTGTGTTGCTCACCCGGCATTAGAAACAAAAATAAATAATAAGGGGAAATTTAAATTTCTCTATTTCATCAGTATTAAAGTAATCCTAGTAAGTTTGTGTTTTCTATATATTCTAGACTCCATCATGACAATCACACTTATTTCTGCTCCTATAAGCCTATTTTTACTAATACAATTTTCTTTACCTTTATTCTAGTAAATTACTCCGTATAAAGTTATCTAGGAGAAAAGAATTGTTAGCTGAATATATTTTCTGCAGATTGTTATCTGGTTCATTATGCTAGCAGCGAGTAGCTTATGAGCTGATCACAATAACAATGCCCTTTCACTGATTGTTCTACTCCAGTTTGTGCCCGCACTATATTTGATTTTCCTATTAAGTTCACTACTTATTAAAGCAACTGGTGTCGTCACAAAACCAGTTTTTAGCAAGGGATGCATATAATCTGATATTGTACATGTTTGCTTACTATGTAACTTTAACTTAAATCAATTTATGTTATTTATTTGTCACTTTATGCTTTTAACCAATTTAGTTTAAAACTTCTACCAGTGTTATGCCATTTGTGCTCATTTTTATCACTTTAATATTCCTTTTCTCAATTTTTTTTTTTTCCCTCTCTCTCAAGAGTTGCGTAATTGTGTTGGAATTGATGATTCAATTTTGTTCTTCCAGGTTTTAGGGGCACCATGGTATTTGCTGTCAGTGGACTGGTATGTATCGTGCTGGAAATCATATTGCAAAAAAGATTTTAGCCCTACAAAATGCCTTCTTAATTATTTGGAAAACTGGAATGTGACGCTCTTGACCATGACGAGGATTGCAAGAATTGGGCCAATAGTACAAACGTTTTTAAGAGTTGGATCCTGACAATCATGATCACTTTCAAGTATGTAATATTTTAAAAATGCAGTGACAAAAAGTGGTCTCCTCAAAGTTTCTTGAAAAGTCGGCTGGGTTTCCAAAACTTTAGGAATGTTTTCTCCAATTTTTATTACTGGTATCCACAAACAACGAGGTTGTCTTTATTTCATTATTAGCAATTAGCATCAGTTCTGTATCCATTTTGAAAGTAATAATTCTCGTTCCATAAAACTTAAATGTGGAACGTCCCAATGTAAATTTATCATATTAGGTGCATCCAGCATGAATAATCGGCTAATTATTTGTTTGTATCTTATCATCATCGAATGAAATGATTATATATGTTTGGATGTCTTTCTTTTCCTGTACAATTTAATTTTTTTTTCCCTTTATTTATTAGTTTTTTCTTTGTTACTAAATCCAATGTCTATCTTTATACATCTACGGACACTGTCGATGAAATTCTTGCTCGATCATTACCTTATATATATCGAAAATGATTTCTTGTTTACTAATGAGCAAGAAATTCAATCACATTATACGGTTCCTTAGATATGATGGCTATATATCTATAGGACCCTATAGATATGCAAATTCCCTTATTATATAAAAAATATGCAAGAAACACCCCTATTAGAAAAGAAAAAAAATAAAATAAAAAATTGAATACAACTCATTGTATTATTCATCTTTTGAGCAATTTGTCCATCTTTGAATGGATTCGTTGAAAAAGAGCGGCTAGTAATATTATTTTTTAAAAAAAAATTTAAAAGTGCTATTTTTGTTTGACAATAATGTCCCTACTAATTTTGTATGTATTTGAATATTAAATGGTTTTGTTTGAATGTGTTTCAAGACCTGTCCAAGGAAAATTCTTTGTATTGTCATAGTCTGTCTCTTTAAAAAATATATTCTCTCTAAAATATTTTTTGTGGCCGCCGATATTATCTCTATTTCTATTTTCTTTTTCTCCTAAAATTTTTTCTATGCCAATATTATCTCCTCTCCGAATGATAGATGCACTATATTTTATTGTAAATGAATGAGCCCCCCTTAATTATATATTTATCTATATCTATAATAATAATAATATTATTATTAAATAAATGGATTTGCTTTGATGCAAATTGTTATCAGATGAACTTCAGATTTCTATCAAAATTAAAATTTTGATCTAGTTACTCTTCGGCTGAACACATACTCAAGCAACACATTTTTTTTAAAAAAAAATTGTTTATTTTATTTTATTTTATTAATGTCTATTTTTATCATATAATGTGCAAGCCAAACTTTTTGAGTTTACTATTAACTTTTTTTTTCTCTTTTTTTTCCAAGTCCGTTTACCATTAACTTTTCAAGCACAATTTCTCAAAAATCATTAATAAGTAGGATAAAATACAGTTAAAAAAAAAAATTATAATTGATAAGTGAGATTGACGTGTAGTTAGTGGCGTATGTCTAAATTTTTTTTTTAGCAACTATAGATTTATATATAGATATTCTTGAATGTATTGGAAGGACAATGGTTGAATTTGGTAAAAGGTAATTAGACACCCACATTCCAATTTTGTTTTAAATATTGGGACACTTATTTATAATCCTTATACTGTTATGTTATGTTTTGACTTTAAAGGTAATTTTGATATTTTGCCCCCTTTTTTTACTAATGTTAAAGTAAGGTTAATTTAGTAATTTTATCACCAAAATTATGATTTGTCATTTTTTACACTTAACCTCTATATATATATATATGTGTGTGTGTATTTTTGGTAAACTACTCGTGGTTCGTAATGGAAAAATGCATATAAATTGAGCACCCATTTTTGGTAAACTACTCATGGTTCGTAATGGAAAAACGCATATAAATTGAGCACCCTCTTGGATTGAAGGTATGAATTCAAATTTTAGTTTTGTTTTGTTTCTTGATTTTTTCTTTTTTAATTTTTTTTTTTTCTCAATATATATTTTTAGCTTTTGTACAAGGCATTCATTGAATAGAACATCATCAGTTAATAATCATATATAAGTCTTGTCAAATTTGGTTTTGAAGATATCCACTTTATCAATTTTGTCACCTTCGCTCCTTCCGACTCCAATTCCGAATCATATATTCCAACTAACATTTTGGATTCGGACTCGCGCTCCAAACAACAACTTCCTCACGCCCGAAATCACGAACGCAAATCCTCTGATGTAATTATTTCAGTAGTTTTCTGCAGCGGAATAATTCTTCTCCCTATATGCAAGCAAATATAATATATCTCTACTTTTATATGTGCTGAAAATAATAGAGAACAAATCAATCACAACAAGCCACAAGAACACAAGCAATTTTTTACGTGGAAAACTTTCCCAGTGTGAGGAAGAAAAACCACGAGACCTAGTCAAGTTAAAATCTCCACTATTAACCAAATAATGGGTACACAGAGTCTTCTCTAATCGCAATTAGAGGTTACAAAACGTCTCATCAAGATAACAACAATCTTGGCAAAAAGAAAGAGAATTGGAGAGAAAAATACCAAAACCCGGTTACTGTTTACGGGCACGAATCACTGTTCCCGAGTGCAAAATCCAATCTTCACCGTTCATATTTTAACTCATTGAGTCTTGAACCTCTCCTCTAAATTTCAGCTCGATCGGACCACGGACGAAGCGGGATCGGATATTTGATGAAATCTGGGCAGAATAGAAAAACCTGCGTTTTTCTACCAAAACCAGGTTACTGTTCACGAGTACGAATCACTGTTCCTGAGCTCAAAATCTGATCTCCATCGTTCAGATTGTGCGTCACTGAGTCGTGAACCTCTCCTCCAATTTTCAGCTTGATCTGACCACGGACGAAGCGGAATCGGACATTTGATCAAACCTGGGCAGAATGGAAAAACCTGTGTTTTTCTTCTCTTTGTTTTTTTCACTTGCGGCTAACCTCTCTCTCTTTTTATACTAACTTCCTTAAGGTTTTCTTTTCCCTAAAGGCTGGGCTTTGAGCTTTTAATAAAACCCACTTGGGCTTTCCTCCATATAGAAGGAAATAAACCCAACAAATCTCTCCCTTTGCGACTATGTGAAGGGAATCGCCATCCCGGCGATCGAATAACAAACTTCAAACTTCTCCCTTGGTAATATCTTTGTCAACATATCAGAGCCATTATCATCAGTGTGAACCTTCTCAAGTTCAAGTAACTTATTGTTCAACGCATCTCTGATCCAATGGTATCGTACATCAATGTGCTTAGATCTTGCATAGAAACTGGAATTCTTAGCAAGATGAATAGCACTCTGGCTATCACAAAACAACACATACCCCTGTTGCTTGAAACAAAGTTCTCTCAAGAACTTCTTTACCTATAGGAACTCTTTAGTCGCTTCCGTTGCTGCAATAAACTCTGCGTCTGTCGTAGAAAGAGCAATACACTTCTGAAGTCTCGATTGCCAACCTACAGCCCCACCTGCAAAAGTGATCAAATAACCCGAAGTAGACCTACGAGTATCTACATCCCCTACCATATCTGCATCTGTGTAGCCAACTAACAATGGTTATCCGTTTCCCAAACCAAGTCTTAAACTGGAAGTGCCTCGAAGATATCTCATGATCCACTTCACTGCATTCCAATGCTTTCTTCCCGGATTTGACAAGAATCGGCTAACTACACCAACTGCATGGGCTATATCTGGTCTTGTGAAAATCATTGCATATATCAAACTTCCTACTGCTGAGGCGTAAGGAACTCTTTCCATGTCTTTCTTTTCCTTATCTGTAGAAGGACATTGCTTTGTACTCAGTCTGAAGTGGGTAGCAAGAGGAAAGCTAACCACTTTAGTGTTGTCCACATTGAACCTCTGAAGCACTTTTTCAATGTACTCCTCTTGTGACAAATATAACTTATTGGCACTCTTGTCACGACTGATTCTTATGCTAAGAATTTTCTTTGATGGCCCCAAATCCTTCATAGCAAATAACTTACTCAATTGCTTCTTCAACTGTTCAATCCTTGAAGCATTCCTGCCAACAATCAACATGTCATCCACATAAAGCAGTAGAATAATAAAATCATCATCAGAGAATTTTTGAACAAATGCACAGTGATCAGAAGTTGTCTTCTTGTAGCCTTGCTCCCCCATAATAGATTCAAACTTCTTATACCACTGTCTCGGTGCTTGTTTCAAACCATATAGGCTTTTCGTCAGCTTGCACACATAATTCTCTTTCCCTTTCGCTTTGAAACCCTCTGGCTGCTTCATATAAATCTCTTCTTCCAAATCACCATGAAGGAATGCAGTTTTCACATCCATCTGCTCAACTTCCAAGTCAAGACTACTGCTAGGCCGAGTGCTATACGGATCGATGACATCTTTACGACTGGAGAGAAGATCTCATCAAAGTTAATACCTTTTCTCTGACCGAACCCTTTGACAACCAATCTAGCTTTGTACCATGGCCGTGAAGATAACTCATTTTGCTTCTTCCTATAAATCCACTTGTTTTCCAAAGCTCTTTTTCCTTTAGGTAGCTTCACTAACTCAAAGGTGTGGTTATCATGCAATGACTGCATCTCATCTTGCATGGCCTCAACCCATTCTGTCTTTTGTTCATCTTCTATGGCTTCTGCAAAACACTGGGGCTCTCCCCCGTCAGTCAATAACACATACTGCTCTGCTGAATACTGAGTGGAAGGACGTCGGTCTCTGGCAGACTTCCTGGATGGAATCACTGGTGGAATCTCTGGCGCTGTCAACTGCTCATCAGTCTCAATATCTCCCTGAACCTGTAAGGGAACATCCACATCACATGTACACTGGTGGTCATCCTGACCATCATTCTCAACCTGAGATGGCAGATTCTTCAGAGGAGCTGGATCCATATCAGTCAAGATATCACCTTGTTGAGACATAAATTTCCCTGCTTTCTCAATATCCTGAATCGTCTGATCTTCTACAAACACGACATCTCTGCTTCTCACAATTTTTTTCTCAACTGGATCATAAAGCTTATACCCAAACTCATCTTGGCCATAGCCAAGGAATATACACTGTCGCGTTTTCAAATCAAGTTTGAACCTTTCATCTTTTGGAATATGCACAAATGCTTTACACCCAAAAACTCGCAAACGATTATAGGATACATCCTTACCTGTCTAAACTCGGTCTGGCACAGCAAACTGTAGAGGAACACAGGGTGTAAGATTCAACACATGAACAACTGTGCTCAATGCCTCCCCCCAAATTTTTTTTGGCAATTGGGCTTGTGAAAGCAAACATCTCATTCTTTCAACCAGTGTCCTGTTTATCCTTTCTGCTACGCCATTCAACTGAGGAGTTTTTGGAGTTGTCTTTTGATGCCGGATACCCTGTTG